TAGAGAAGTTAGATTAAAAAATTTTAAGAGTAAAGAGATCCCATGAATAATAATAATAATAATAATAAATGATTACTTTAAGAAAATTTAAAAAATATATATAAAAATCATTTGATTTATCCGTTGTAATTGTATTAATTCTTTTAGAGTTCTTATGTCGTTATTTTTTTCTATTTTAACTTTTATATATATATTTTTTAAATAATCAATCAATTACATTTATTGAAATAACACTGTTCCAATTCAATTTTTTTGAATAAATTTTATTGATGAATATCTTTTTATTCTTTTTAATGAATAGGAGTTTGCGATCGTCTCTTATCAACTGATTGCCGAATAGCAATTCCAACTGAATATTTGGTAATTAGAGAAATGTTTTGAAGAGTCCTGAGCAGCAATATTTTAAATTTCAAATCATATCACCAATGTGTTGCCCACATATGAGTGGAAATTTAAAGAAGTTGCAAATTCCCAAAGTATCTGGTGACCAACCATGAATTCGCTGATGTGTATGTGAGAACAGCCACGAATAACCTCGTGCATTCAACCTTTAAACGACCACATGTTTGTCTACATTCTGACAAAGAGGAATAGGAGAATCGTCTTATTTTCCAAACAAAAAGCCCGTGAAAGGATATACCTCTGATGAACTGGCATTGCAAACGGATTCCTTCCGCCCTCCAAACTTCCAATACTCTTTGTCAGCAACCCTTTACATAGACCACTATAACTCGGTTACTGAAAACTGATTAAATATTGTGATTAGGAAAGCAATTCATTACTCAAGAGTCTCGTATAAAGTATCAAATAAATGCATCTTATAACTTTCCTGCAAATTGTGTGGTCTAACTCTCACTCTACATTTTTTTTCGACCATTTGGAAATATGTTTAGACTTCAACTTGAATCAAAATGATTGATTAACTGAACCTGTAATAATACGTGGACGTATCAATTTGCAGAAAAAAGTTGGGATTGTTTCCCATCCGAACAAAAACACCCGGTTAGATTGGCCAGTAAGTACAGGATACATCTCATTAGCTAAGTGGTTCCCTTCGTCTTAATTTATTCGTCTACCTTTTTTTTAGAGATATCTTGTGATGTTTGTCTACTCTTTAAATAAAACAAGTGAAAATAATGTTTCCTTTTCAATTTTATAATGTTTATCTTCAATTATTTAATTAATTACAACACTGTTTCGAAATCGAGGACTTCTACAGTTTCCAAGACATGGATATATTTGAGATCATAGACAGCGAAAAAAATAATAAATAATGTTTTGTTTAATATTAGTTGAAAATCTTATGTTGGACATGTAAAATGGGATAAAAAGAGTATTCAATTTAGAATTAGGTTTTCCATGATTTCTTGTTTAAACTACTCCTAGAAGAAGAGGTGAAAAAAAGATAATTCAGGAGTGTAGAGGGCATTTCTTTTTCTATTACGTAAATCAAGAACATACGGATCTTCCAATTAGAGAAACAAGTGGACCGAAATGGGATCGAATAACAACGTAGGAAGAGAAACAATCGTTCGCAGTGATAAGTGGTCATTGCTCGATCAATGTTTCTTATGCAGCAAGGGAACAGTTTTATTGGTCGAAAACGCCTGCGTCCTGGGATTTGAATGGCAAGACCTCTTCCTATTACAAAAGTTCAAAAGGTTAGGAATTCTCTGATAATTTTTTTAAAAAAAAACAAGTAAAAAAGAACACCCTGACGATGTAGCGGTCAAACACTGCGGTGGTGTGTGGTCAACTGGTCATCGCTAAATTATTCTGGGGCAGAAAGTACAGGTGCGGTTATCGCCCGATTGTTGACCAACGGAGATCATTTTTGCGCCTTCTGTTTTTTTTTCGTCAAATCTTGCATTTTATTGCACTTTAATGCCTTCCATTAACTGAATTTTAGCTCAAACTAAATCTACTCAATAACAATACGAAAGTTGTACTTTTGGAGTGAGCAAAACTTATATCCCGTTGTCTCTGTTGGGATTATATTTGATCCAATTTTTAAAATTAGAAGCATTCGTTAAAAAGTTTGTTCATATATATATATATATATATAAAGAGTAAAATATCTTAACTGATTATAAGAGAAGCGTGCTTCTTTATGTTTTACTTTTAAATATAGATTTTTCTATATTTAGGCTATGTATTTTTTAATTTTTTTTAATTAAAGCTCTCTATTTTTAATTTTTTTTTATATTTTAGATCATCTTTTATAATTTTATTGATCATTGATTCATACTGTTATAAAAAAAATTGAAATAAAAAAATTTATAAAGTAATGGATTTCAATCAAATTAAAACTAAAGATCTCAATAAAAAAAATTTGAAAAATACATTATTCAAATGTAGAAAAAACCCTTTTAAATACATCAAAATAAAAAACACGGTTAATTTGAACCGAATTAAATTAATTTAGTGGAAGAAGTTGGTTTCATAATTACAAAATAGGAATAAATACAAATTATATCTTTATTTTAATTTTTTGAATAATTTATCATGGTATCTTCTCAACATAAACTGATTGAAAGCTATGTGATCGAATAAAATTTAATAACCAAGAAAGCCTAGAATCAAACCGGTCCATTTGCTTTTCTCGATGGACTGGCTGGGCTGATTTTTTCGGTGAATCGGTCGAATTGATTTGAGTAGGACGGATAAGCAATCAATAAAAAGATGGCGAGCACCACATGCTAGCTGTGCGCAGAGTGAATTGACGAGAAAAATACCAAAAAGCTATAAAGAGTCCGGATACGGAATGCCAAGAAATAAATTGCCTTAACATGATTACTGGAGACAATAATTCGAGTCAGTGCCATAAATCACAAAACCTATTTTGTTTTGTTACGACATTACCTTATAAAACGCACATGAAGATTGGGTAGAGGTCAAATTGTTCCACAGGTCCACTTGCCTCTCCTCACGTCAAGAAGCTATGAGACCCACATGATCACTTGCCCACCATCTTCCCCTTGTTCAAATCCTTGGCTGCCGTCCACATGATAACGTACGAGCATTCTCCTTTTTTTTTTTTGTGCTATCTTGTTCTATGCAACTCTTGCATGGTTAACCTAAAAATAAAATGATTAGATGTTTGATTAGCCTTTTATTCAGTGACTTGGATGATTAATTTCATCATTTTAATTATGTTGTGACTTGTAGGAGAGCGTCTCAGTCTCAAATTAGGCTCTTGTTTAGAAGACTTGAGAAAGGAAGTGGAGGTGTTCCTGGGCCCATGTGAGCTAGTGGCCGAGGCCACGTTGAGCCTAATGCCATTTTCTACTATGAATGACCAAGCACATGGAGCAATGGCCACGTCAGCTAGTGGCACAAGAAGAAGAAGAAGTCCTTGGTGGTAGGCTCGATTTTTTCTTCCAACCACACTCCTTTCGGAAAACGTACTATCAGATGATAATGGGAGTGGGATTTTGATAAAACAAGAAACTGAAGAGAAGCTACGGGTCACCGATGAAAACATCTTTATTTTATGGGCATGGCGGTCTATAGTTTAGTCTTTGCAATTGACAAATGGGGGAAGAGACTGTCAGGCGTTATTAACCTATTGTTAATGGAGATTTAGGTAACGCATAGAGAAAAATTTGTCTAATTTTTGTCCAGTTGATTATATTTGATTTTACATTTCAGGGTCTCAGGAAAACCGCAAGGAGGAAAGTTTAAACAATTGATAAGAAAAAAAAATGTATAAAGCAGGGGTCAGTCTATTGAAAGGGAAATTACATGTATGTTAGAATTCCAACTAAATTTCGAACTTACAAGTTACAAGGAAAGCGAAATTTCCCAGTGATTGGGATGGCTGACTTTATCAGAACGGCTTATCTAATCCAGCACCAGCTCTTTGACAATTAGGCAATTTGCAAACATTAAATTTAGATACGTTTGAGTATCGCAAGCCACATGCTTTATACGGCTACTCGAGATTTCCTCCTACATCTATGCTGGGACAAAATATGCAGTGCCACCTTTTTTTTTCCTTTGTTTTAAAATAAGTTTTTTTTAATAAAAAAAAATAGCCTCTTAAAAAAACAAGATATAAGATATCAATTAAAAGTAAGACAGAAATACCAGTAAATAGTAACTAGTTTTAAATGTGAAGATGAGTCTGAGATGAAAAAACCCTTAAAAAAAAATAAAAAATTAACTAGCCCCACGAAGGACATGCTTGAAAGAGCAAAACCACTCTCTGTTACGCAAGTCTTGAATTTCAAAATCAAGAAAAAAAGAGGATGAAAAGGGCAAATCTCAATTTCAACTTATCTTTAGCTTGTTGAAAGTCCGATTCAATGATAAATTTTTTTTTCTTCTTGGTTTTAAAACAGTATATCTATTTTTACTAAAAATAAATAAAAAGAATATATCTACTTTCAACATGCATTTCGTATTTGGACATGTATCTCCATAATAAATTATTTTTCAAAAAATTCTCTCTAATAATTCCAACTTTATGTAAATTTATTCCAATTAGATTGATTTTCTTAGGGTTATAAAATGCATATTTTTTAAATGCAGTAAATGTTCCACATGAGTTATTATTTGTTACCAAAAAATAAAATTTTAAATAAATTGATGACTGCTGATTGGTTAAAATTTTATAAAGGACGGTAGAAGAGTTAAAGAAATAATGTCCATACAATCCCACGTGTGAGATGCTGGGAGGGATCGCATATTCCCAGGGATTGGTTTTGTGGTAGAATATCATTTCTCTTTTGCATCTCCTCGCAATAAGAAGTGGAAAGCCATGTTAGAAACCCAAAAAACTACTGGTCACCCTTAGCCAACCCAGGAAAGCAGAAAAAATAAAACCTCTTCCACTCGTACTTTCCACACCTCCTCCGTAAAAATTCTCATTTCAAAACAGCAACCAACAGGCCTTGAAAAATCTGTTCAACAAGTACATAACCAGAACCCTTTTCAGTTTAGTCCCAAAAAGAAACATAACAAGTGGATTATAAACCACTAGGTAAAGAGTTATTGAGATGGCCGGTGTTCTGCTTTGGGTGATTTGTCCCAAAGAGAATGCCAGTTTTGCTGCAACAACCCTTTTCAGTTTAGTCCCAAAAAGCGGCTTACAGTTAAGCAGGTACCCCAAAGTGTGTTCAAGACAAAAATTATCTAATGGGGTTTTTGCTGCTGCTTCCCTTTCAAGTGCAGTGGTAAACCTACCAAGATCTTCAGAGGAGAAGGTGTATGAGGTAGTTCTAAAGCAAGCTGCTTTGGTGAAAGAACAGAAAAAAGAGAGAGCTTTGGATGTTAGAAAAGGAAATGATCAAGCTGAGAGTATGACTCGTGGGGATCTGCTGAATGGGGCATATAATAGGTGTGGTGAGGTCTGTGCTGAGTATGCCAAGACCTTTTACTTGGGTATTTGCTCTCTTTTCTCTTTTCTTCTTGTTTGTGTTTACTACACTTCATTTTTTTCAGAGGATTTGCTTATTGTCTTACCACGAAAGATGAAGTTAACTGGTTTTAGGAATATAAATATTCTTGTCAAACATGAAAGTAACTATCTACAGTTAGAATCTAATCATGTTAGCTTTTCAAAACTTTGCAGTTTGCACATGGACATAAGATCAATTAACGATTATAATAGCACTCGTTTTAGTTATTTAATTATTTTTTTCTGCCAATTCTTATTCTTTTTTATCTTGAAGTTTTATCTGAGCCGTTTATTGTTAATTGCTAAGATAATGGAAGGAAGAGAAGAAAAGTTAAATTGCTTTTGTTTTCTTGCGTGTCCCTTTCTATCATTGGGAAAACCATTGAAAAGGCTAATGACAGAAAAATGAAAAAAAAAGGCTATATACAGTGACAATAGTGTTGTGGCATTATACTAAAGACAATGATTTTAACATAGAGGATTCTAATACATAAATGAAAATAAAAATGAGCATCGTCTCTGTACACTGGAATATTGATTTCAACCTCGCATCAACTCCAACTTTAGTAACTTTCTCACTTTTTTCTACTTCTGTTTAGGGGATCCCAACCCCACAAAAAGAGGTTCAATTAATTTGGAAGATGTATCAGATTTGGATCTTTTCATTGTTCTTTATGCTTTCTTAGGAACGTGACTTCCAAATCTCACTATTACTTTCGAATTTAATGAATTGGATTAGGGGAGAGAAATAAAATAATGAGGACTTGAACTGAAATATCAAGTTAATAAGGTTCGTCAAATATGGACTTAATTTCTAAATTGGGCACGGTTTGAATTGTATTTATTCATTTGCTCGAATAGAACAGTTGACTGACAGTTACTGCAAAATTTTTGTGAATGTTCTTTCTGAGCAAAGCTAAATGAATGAAAACCAATTGCTTATAATGATTCTGAAAGAACTAATCCTGGAAAAAAAAAATCTAATCTCATAAGTTCTTATGTTTACCTAGTTTCATCCCAACATTTTCCAATTTCAGGCACATTACTAATGACACCAGAGCGGCGAAGAGCTGTCTGGGCAATTTATGGTATGTACTTTGGTTAAACTTGCCACTTCATTGAAGTCCAGTGCATTTATGCTCGCTATTTTGGCTTTCAGTACTTGAGATGAGTATGATCTGCTTACGTTCTTATTCCATCACCAGTATAAGATTCATTGCAGAATTCTTGGCTTGCAACCTTAATTGCTGCAAAACCCTTTTATGTAAAAATCCTGAAAATTGCTGAAAAAATAGTTTATTTACTTTTGTCTGTTGTTCTGAAGTGTGGTGCAGGAGGACTGATGAGCTCGTGGATGGACCTAATGCATCATATATCACACCCAAGGCTCTGGACAGGTGGGAGCAGAGGTTGAATGACCTTTTTGAAGGTCGCCCATACGATATGTATGATGCTGCTCTAGCCGACACTGTCTCAAAGTACCCTGTTGATATACAGGTAAAACTTAAACCGCAATTCTAAATAGCCATCATGCTTCGCATGTATTTTTACTGGAATATCTATTTGTGCAAGAAATTATTAACCCCAAATCCTCTCTTTCGACAGCCGTTCAAGGACATGATAGAAGGAATGAGAATGGACTTGAAAAAGTCGAGATATAAAGACTTTGATGAGCTTTACCTGTACTGCTACTATGTTGCTGGGACAGTGGGGCTGATGAGTGTTCCAGTAATGGGAATAGCACCAGAATCAAAGGCTTCAACAGAAAGTGTATACAACGCTGCTTTAGCCCTTGGGATAGCTAATCAACTCACCAATATACTTAGAGATGTTGGCGAAGAGTAAGCTTAATTATAATATAATCCTGATTCGAATTGCTAAGTCGATTTCTTGTTAAGCGAAGAATTAACATCCTATAAATTTGTGGATACTGAGAATGCTGGTTTGTTCTTGTCAGTGCTAGTAGGGGAAGAATATATCTCCCACAAGATGAGATCGCTCAAGCTGGCTTGTCCGACGAAGACATATTTAACGGGAAAGTGACAGACAAATGGAGGAGTTTCATGAAGGGACAAATTAAGCGTGCAAGAATGTTCTTCGACGAGGCTGAGAAGGGTGTTGCAGAACTCAATGCTGCTAGTAGATGGCCGGTCTGGGCATCTTTGTTGCTATATAAACAGATATTAGATGCTATTGAAGCAAATGACTACGATAACTTTACAAAGAGAGCTTATGTGGGAAAAGCAAAGAAATTTGCATCATTGCCCATAGCCTATGGTAGAGCGCTCATGGGTGTTTCTTCTAAATTCGCCGAGCCAGCAAGGAGTTGATCGTTTCCATTTTTTGCCTTTGAATTTACTTGTTATATTACTTCCCGAGAAAAAAAAAAAAAAAAAACCTCAAAGTCTGTAAATTCCCTGTTTGTTTCACAAGTGAAATAAAAAAATTTCACAGCATTGGTTAATATTTTGCCATATGTTGTACTTGATTCAAGTTGAAGAAACATATATTTTATGAGTTCTGACCCACACTTATTGTTTCCTTACGTTTAGACTTGATGATCAGCTTAATTGTTCACATTGAAACGGGAATGAATAGTGATCCTTGGTGTATTCTTTTAGTCTTGGCTGACCATCTAAATTATAAAAATTTAGCATACTTTATACCCCATTAATTCATAACACCCTAAATTATTGCTACATACGCATAACAGCTGACCTAGCCTACGTCATCCGCCCCAGACCACCCAGCTTTCCAGCCATTATAAAAAAATAATAATGATAATAATAATAAACAATCAAGAGAAAAGGGAAAAACCACTTCCTACCAAATCGCAAAATTTCCACCACAGATCAAACTCGTCGCCTCTTATTGCCGTTGCCAGTACCAACAACTGCTCCTATCCATGTCAATTATCAAAATAATAATAAAAAAATAACAATTAGAGATTTGACTAGAAGATATATGTGCGTGCGTGTGTGTTGTTTGACTCGCTCTCGCTGCGCACATTCCATACTTTCTTTAACCTTTGTGGGCTTTTATCCACAGCGAAACAGAATGGGCACCCTCGTATTTTTTGAGATTGAATTGGGCTTCGTCTTGTTAAAGCACGCTTTGCTTGCTGCTATTTTAATGGGCTGGGTATCTTATTTCAGTCCAACAGTCGGTACCCAATTTGAACAGGTTAGTTGATAATTCACTCCAAAACTTTATATTGGGCCTGGCTGCACCTAAGGTCCTAACTCATTTTTCGTCTCCAGTAAACAGGGTACGGTTTAAACTCTGAACGCTAAAGCAATTCGATCAGAGTTCGGATCCAGATTGGGTGCAAACCATCGGTGGGCCTTTACGTAACAACTAACCCATACCATATTTTCACTTGGACCCATTTGTTTCCCCCTCATTTCTTCTTTCCGGTTCTATCAGTGGTTATGACTCGTGAGGGGGCATATAGCCAAATACCATTGCTAACATGCAATTTTATGTTACAAAGCTTTTTCTTTCTTCTTATATATATAGACCTTCAATTTGTTCCACATTATACCCGCGAAGAGGAATAGAAAATAAAATAAAAAAATCGTGTCCTTGAGGTCAAGTTCTACTCTACTCCATTGACCTTCTGTTGTTGCACATGAGTAATTTTTTAGAAATAGGTACTGGAAATTAATCAATAGGTCCTAATTCATTTCTCCCATAGCCACATGCATGAAGTTCCGTACGGTTCATTAATTCTTGATGTGATTTTTTGATTTCGTGGCCAAAACTATATCTACATCTCCATGTGACATTAATTAAAATTTGACTTTGAATTCATGGATATTTCCTCATGGTATCTTTTCTTGATTTTCTTTCAACACTGACAAGCCTACTTAGTCTTTGCAAAAGAATTCGTCGATTTTTTTTTTTTTTTCTCTCCGTTGAGTAGGAAGGATGTTTTTGAATAATTTTTACATATTTTAAGATTAAATTTTTTTAAACACGATTAAAAATTATTTTTAACATACGATTTTAAATATTTTAATAATAAATTTTTAAAAATATTAATTATGAGAATCGACTTTAAAAATAATTATTTTTAAGAATTATTTTTAAAATATGATTTTAAATATTTTAAAAATAAATTCTTAAAAATATTAATTATAAGAATAAACTTTGGATTTGATGTATAAGTAAGCGGTTGAATTAAACGAAAATTTTTGAAAGGATTTGTTTATATTCAACATCTACTATTAATTTTGGACGACACTAACATTGGGCGCTTTTTGTAAAGCTAAGAAAAGTAGTTGCTTTCAGCCATTAACTTTGAAGGATGTGAAACAGAATGCCGGCTCCAAAAGATGCAAAACTACTTGCTGGGGCTTTTTTTCCTTCTTTGAAGTAATGCATCTGATCTGGACTGGGCACCAAAAGCATGCTCAAATTAATTCGTTGCTTTGATCAGCCATTAACTTTGGGCTCTATTTTTCGGTGTCAAGGAATTTAATTAGGTTTATTGCTCTTTGAAAAAGTCGAACGTACAAGTCTACAACGTTCACTTAAATAAAAAAAGGAGTGGTTGTTATTAAAATATTTTTTAACCACCATGGAGTACCTTCGTGAAATCTTTATTTATTTATTATGTGTATGCAACTTTATACTCTGACAACATTAAAAACTTTATACTATAATTAACATAGAATCTAATTTGACTTAATCATAACACCTAATTAAATCGTCAAGTCCATTAATCACGTAATAAAATGTACAAAAACTTTCTTAGTTGTAATCATCAACATATTGTTATGAATGCATATATTATTTTATGAAAAAAATGAAACGGCGGTATGTTAGAGTAACAATCTCTCATGGAATAAATAAACTAACTAACATTAATATATAAATTTGAGAAATGATCGTGGATTAAAAAACTTAAATCTTTTAAATGAAATCAACATATATATAACTCCAAAAACACCTCAAATGGGAAATGAGAAAAACCGGACAAGAACTAGGTAGCTTCGCAAATAATTCGATATTACTACCTCAAAACCCTCATCTTTAGGTTGCCAAGGCGATCGCAACGAAAAAACTCATAAAAAGCTTTATAGGAAACCTTATCACAAAACAAGGTCCAAAGATATAGAACCTTTGTATAAGAAGCCTTCCAACAAAACTCCCAAAAAACTTTTTAAGAAAACCTAATTTAGGCCTAAGCCCAAAGCCGACCAAAGGGAATTTTGAAATGCTTTGTTAATTGATTCATCTGACCCGTCGGACTATTCCGGTAGTGAAGAGACCTTTCGGTTAGATGAACTCGTTACCTCTTCTAGTTCAAACCCTAGTTCGGATTTAGAACCCGATACTAGTCCAAAACGAGTCAACATTTTGACTAAAAACTAGGACCTCATCCTAAATATTATTACAAAGATTGAGGATCCCCGATTACAAAAAGAATACTTAGATAGACTCTTAAATTCTCTAGAAGACAAACCTAGAGAGAACCCAAAACTTTCTATCATGTCTTCTACTAGTACTAGTACTTATGACCTTACGGCCATTCTAGACGGGAAGAAAAAAATCAAAAACCTTTGACTACAATTCGGGACCTTCATCCGAAATTAAAGTCATCAAAATTGAGCTTAAAGAGTTCAAAGAAAAACAAACTAGAGACTCAAGTCTCTTAAAAACCTTGTTGGAAAAACGGGAAGAAGAAGAAGAGTCGGACTCTATTTCGAAAACCCGAAGAAAACCAAGAGTTACAAAACCTCGAGAATTTGAAAGATAAACCGGAGGCTCGAGTCTCTTGAAAACCCCGTTGGAAAAAAAAAAGAAGAAGAAGAGTCGGACTCGCTTCGAAAACCTCGAAGAAAACCAAGAGTTACAAAACCTCGAGAATCCGAAACGTGTTCCGGAAGATTTCCTTTTTGTACATCGAGAAGTTACTTTTAGGAAATACTTGATTAAGATCACCGTTGTTTTTCAAAATAATTTCAAAATTGATACTATTGTCTTATTTAATACCGGTGCTGATTTGAATTGCATTAAACAAGGAATTGTTCCAAAACGGTTTCACTTAGAAACCCATGAAAAACTTTCTGCAGCAAATAATTCTAAAATGACCATTAAAGAAAAAACGAAGCCTCCGTGGTCAACGAAATTATTGCCTTGAAAACTCATTTCTTGCTTGTTGAAGATATGCATCATATGGTAATATTAGGCACGCCTTTTATTAATCTTATAACTCCTTATAAGGTTTGTGATGATTGCATTTCTTTCACCTCTAAGCATGCAAAACTAATTTTTCCTTTTATTGAAAGACCTAAGACAAGAAATCTCAATATTATAAAAGCATGTTCTATTTATAATTTTGAGATAAACGCATTAATTAAAGGAAAATAACGAGCATCTTTTACATTTATGTCAAGATGTATCTTTACAAAAAATACAACATCGATTACAAAATGACTTGGTGAAAAACAAGATTTCTGATTTACAAAAACTTATTGAAAATGAAATATGTTTTGATTTACCAAATGCCTTTTGGAATAGGAAGCACCATAGTGTTGACCTTTCCTACGAAAAAGATTTTGATGAAAAACGATTCCTACCAAAGCCGGATCGATCCAAATGAATGCCGACCTTGAACAACATTACGAGTTAGAAATTCAAGATTTAGAATCCAAAGGTCTTATCCAAAAATCTAGGTCACCTTGGTCTTGTGTAGCTTTTTATGTCAATAAGAATTCTGAAATAGAAAGAGGAACACCTTGATTAGTAATCAATTACAAACCCTTGAACAAAGCCTTACAATGGATTAGGTATCCCATTCCTAACAAGAAGGATTTTTTACAAAAGCTGAATTCTACTTTTATGTTTTCTAAGTTTGATATGAAGTCGGGTTTCTAGTAAGTCTAGATCAACCCTAGAGATAGATACAAAACTGCCTTTACTTGTCCCCTTTAGAAAGTATGAATGGAAAGTCATGCCCTTTGGTTCTTCTATTTTTGCTACGGCTAATGTGGCATTAGCAAAGGATTTTTGTGCCGTAAATTATAAAGCGAAGGAGCTTAGTTTTAGAGCTCTCGGTTTTGTGAGCTATTGTTCAATAGAGGCTTTGGATAGAGATGCTAGAATTTTGAAAGCATCTCACCATTTTACTTGAAACCTTCGATGAGGATCCCTATATCACCTTGGTAAATAAAATCACAATACTAGGAGCGAGACCTAAGGAAGGAAGAATTTGGAACCGAAGAGGAAAAGAGGGGTAAACCATCTTTCTTTATCCGTAGGTTTGAAATGTGTTTTAAAAAGATTATAACTCTCAAAGACGAGAGGGAGAGAGGATCTCCGG